AGTAGCCAGTCTAGTCCAGTTTTTTATGCTGATTCTGAAGGTACCATTTTGTCGGATATTAAATTGATAGTTGTAGTACTATTTTACTGTTGAATAATGAACATAATTTCCATACTAGTACTAGTAGTAGTACTACTACTAGTACTAGTAGTACTATTAATACTAGTACTAGTACTAGTACTATTAGTACTACTTGATCATAATTTCAATAGTAGTAGCACTACTACTAGTAGTAGAATACTAGTAGTAGTCACTATTAGTAGTGGTAATTGAGTACTGCTACTACTAGTACTCCTACTATTAGTAGTAGTAGTACTAGTAGTAGTAGAGGTCACTGCCTCTACTAGTGACACTACTTGTGAGACAGTAGTAGTTGTTGTATCTTCCAAATGGTTTATTGTTGTGTAGTATGAWGTGGTAGACAGTGGAACCTGGATATTGAGATCTAGAAGCAAAAATAATTTAATTAATGCTTAACAGATTTAATTAACAATGCTTAACAGTATGCTATTTATTTTGTTTCTTTCTTGTTACTACTACTAAATATATTAAGTACTATCTTTGTTCATTCTCACAYCATCACTCTTCTTCTTACTGCTTTTTCTTGACCCAATGACATCTAGTTCTCCACGTAAAACTAGATTGGTTTCCTTATTCTCACTACCTCTGGCTGTATACTTCTCTCTGTATCCTCTGAACTCCTCACTGAATCTAGCATTTACCACACAGTGCTGCAGCATTGCACAGTGTGATGCACTAAGATGGAACCTGGATTTATGGGCACTTGAATGGGAACCTACTACTAGAATCTTCATTGGAATCTGGAAGTGTTAATGCTACTACTAGTAGTAGCAGTACTCCCAGTACTCCTGCTAGTACTACCACTGATACTGCCACAACCAGCACTACTACTAGTACTACTACTACTGTTACTGTTCCTACTTCTACTACTAATACTGCTGGTTTTACTATTACTGCTGTTACTAATACTGCTGTTACTATTACTGCTGTTACTATGACTGCAGTGGTTACTGCTGCTGTTACTACTACTGCTGTTACTACTACTGCTGGTGTTACTACTACTGATACAACTGGTGGTACTAAGGTGAAACTACTACTACTACTACTACTACTACTACTACTACTACTACTACTACTACTACTACTACTACTACTACTACTACTACTACTACATAATTTCCATACTAGTACTAGTAATAATAGTACTACTAGTACTAGTAGTACTACTACTACTAGTACTAGTATGGAAATTATGTTCATTATTCAACAGTAAAATAGTACTACAACTATCAATTTAATATCCGACAAAATGGTACCTTCAGAATCAGCATAAAAAACTGGACTAGACTGGCTACTCAAAAATTAAAATAGTAATATTTTTGATAGAGCTGTAACTGCTTAAAGGTTGGATAGTTTTACTAGTATTATGCAGTAAAAATGAGAATGAAAAAAAATCCTGGGGGGACTTTTTGGAAATTTG